AGGGATCAGCCATATGATTCCTTTGGGTGGGTCCAATTGTAAGCAAAATTCAGCTCTCTTACTTTCCACCCTCTCTTGGACCCAAATTTGATTTGTTAGTCCATTTTTATGTAATACTTGAGAAAATTTCCCTAAAGTTGGTGTGTAGTGGTGAGTAGATCTTAGGTGCCCCAAGCACTGCGAATGTATCTGTGGCATTTATCAGTTGTCTTGGGCAGAGAAAGTTACCCCCACCTGACACCTAGAGAACAGTGACAAAGGGAAGAATGGTCAAGGGATGTGGATTCTAAACAGAGAGGAGAGAGCTTGGGATTGTCAGGAGAACTTTGTGGGATCCATGGGGTTTAAAACAATCAGGATTTAAAGAAATGGACTATTGTTACCTTTCTGGCTTAAATTACCCTTCATTGCATATTTCCTTGAGTTTCTCTTTGTCTGTATTGCTTGTTGCTAATGAATTTGATACTAACCTCCAGATTTTTGAGTTATTATTCCAGTGTAAGTTTTTCTGTTTTTTGCTTTTATTGTTGGCATTTAAACCATGATTCCATGCTACACACACACACACACACACACACACACACACAGTCCTCCTTTTGTGGCCTAATAAGCTATGAGGCAGGGTCCTCTCACACTGATCTGTTTCATAAGACAGTATTTCTCAAATAAGCCCATAATAATTGTATGAGTTGTATAATATGCTTTATTTTTTTGTATTAAAAACTTTTATGTAAAAAGTCTAATGGAGAATAGTGATTTTGAATATATGTATTTGTACAATTCTTCTATAATAAGATTAAATTTAAAAATACTGCTTAAGAACAAAAATTCCTTTCCAGTTTGAAATGAAAGTTTGAGGATACGTTAAGTAGTGGAGTCAAATGACCGTTGTTCTCAGCCTTCATTGGTTAAAATAGATTGCTTAACACATCCACAATGGTTCGCTACCTTTTGATGTGAGGAAGGACATGTCACTCAGTTCTATGTGGTATAAATTGCACAAAATACCCTTTAGGTGTTGTTTGGCTGTCATTTGTCCAATCGGTCATTTTCTTCTTCACACTGCCAATTGGTGGTTTGGGCTCACCATCTGACAGGAAGCATTCTTGAGAGAGAAGAGTGTCATCTCAGGAATCGCACTGTTTGCTACTCTTTTCTTGTTGCTGCTTCTGAATAGCCCTCTCCACGGCTTAGTTTTGGAGGGTGGCCTAGCAGATAGATGACCGTGGCTCTGGAGGTTCACGGCTGTTGAGGGTCCTGGCTCCTCACGGGCTGGTGGTTTGGTTTTAGACGTGCTACTCACTTTTCGTTTCTGTAAGTAGGTAATTGCACTAACGCCTACCTCTTTGAGCTTTTTTTTCTGTGATGATTAATACATGTTACTAGTGTTTTCATATAATAAATACTCAACACTTGATTATTTTTACGACTAATAATGCAAGTATTTATAAGATTCCTATAACCCTGCAAAAATGTGCAAGTAGTTCATCATCATTAGGGCACCACATAAATTAAGATTTTGGTGCCTTAAAAGTGCCAGTACTTGATTCTATGTTTTTTTGTACTGAGAATCGAACTCATGACCTTGCGCTTGTCAGGCAACCACTCTGTTGCTGAGCTATATCCCTGGCCCCCTCTGTGTTGATATTATCAATTGCCATAGTTTTACAGATCACTTACATTCCAGTAACTTCCACATCTTCGTACAGTTCTGGACTCTTAACTTTATGCCGTACATATTTTCAGGGGCTTACCAGAAAGAAGTCTTCACTTTGATGGGGACTTGAAATAAAAAATGTCCAAAACTCAACTGACTGTCCCTTTTTTTTCTTTTTCTTTTTACCAGTACTAGAAATCGAACTCACGACCTTGCACTTGCCAGGCAGGTGCTGGGCCGCTGAGCTGCTGAGCTAAATCCCCAGCCCCTGACTGTCCCTTTTTGACCCTCATTTTTTCACTTAAAATTTCTTTAAACTCCTTTTCTTCTTCTTTTCCTTATGACATTGCCTTGGGTTGAATATTGCCCCCACCCCGAAAAGTCATGTCTATCCTGGACCTTTCAGTGTGACCTTGTATGGAAATAGGGTCTTTGAAAATACAATTAGTTAAAAGGGGGTAATACTGGGTTAATGTGGACCCTAAGTCCAGTGATTTATAAGATGGGCACGTGAAGACAGATACACACAGCTCCATTCAAAGATGGAGGCAGAAATGACAGTGGTATGCTTGCAAGTCAGGGATTGCTGACAACCTCCAGTAGCTGGGGGTAGGGCATGGGTCAGCCCTGCTTATGCCTTGGTTTTGTACTTCTGGCCTCCTAAACTGTGAGAGAGAGGAATATATTTCTGTTGCTTTAAGCTACCCCTTTTGTAGTGATTTGTTTCCTCTGCCTTAGGAAACTGATATAGACACTTAGCTGTCTATATTATAAATTTTGAATTCTTAGAGTTACCGTTTCCTGTATTAGTTTGCTAGTGCTACAGTGAAATACCGCAAACTAGGTGGCTTAAAACAACAGACGTGGCAGGGTATAGTGACTCATGCCTGTAATCCCAGTACTCTTGGAGGCTGAGGCAGGAAGATTGCCAGTTCAGACCCAGTCTGGGCAGCATACTGACTTAGTGACACCCTATCTCAAAATGAAAAAGGGCAGGTGGTGCAACTCAGTGTGAAGGCCCTGGGTTCAATCCCCAATACCGCAAAATAAAACCAAAAACCTGACATTTATTCTCTCACAGTTCTGGAGGCCAGCAGTACAAAATAAATGTCAGCAGGACCACGCATGCTCTGAAACCTGTGCAGTTTCTTTGCTTGCCCGCAGCTCCTCCTGGTTTGCCAGTGCCCTTTGGTGATGCTTAGTTCATGGCTGCACAGTCCCAATTCCTTCTCCCCATGCGCCTGTCTTCACATGGCACTGTCTTATAGGTACTCACCTTCCTCATGTTAACTTCCCCAGTTACATCAGCAAAACCCTACTTCCAAATAAAGTCAACATTCTGAGGTATAGAGCTTAGGATTTGACTATTTTTGGGGAGGTGGACGCAATTCATCCCCCAAGACCACCCCTTTCTTTTATCACCATTTTAAATCTTGCACCTTGTAAACATTCTTTGATCTCCCGCAGCAGAATCTGCCTGGCCTAGCCCCTGTTCTCTAGCCCAGCCTCTGCTGCCCCGGTTATGGTGCAGTCATCTTTCCTCAGGATTATCAGTCATTGCCCCATTGATTTTCCTACTGCATTTCACTCTTCATGCACTCAACACATTATCTAATCAACTGCAAATCAGATTACAGTCTTTCCACTGGCCAGGCCCTACCAGTGGCTTCCCCTCACCACAACCTGGAGTTTGAAATAGTACAGAAGGCCCAAGTTTGATTCCCACTTCTTCCAGCCACCTTCCTTGCCACTTTGCACAATGTATCCCAGACCACACTAGGCTACTTGCCTTCTCTTGAAAATAGAATTTGCATATACTATTCCCAATGGCTAGAACACTCCTTCTGAACCTGAACCCCATGCTGAGCTGCTACTCATCCTGTAAGGTCCACCTAAAATATCACTGACTCAGCGTGCTCCTAAAATTCCCCCAGTTAGAATTATTGCTCCTTTCCCTGTGTATTTGTTACACTTTGTGATTCTAGTTACTAATATAACATTATCAAAGATTTAGAACCTTTTATATAAGCTGTGGGTGTGACTCAGTGGTAGAATGCTTGCCTAGCATGTGCAAGACCGCGGGTTCCACCTTTAGTACTACAAAAGAAAGAAAAAAGGACCCTGTATATAAAACAATTAACCTTGATAGTGTAAAGTCTAAGTTATGTGTACATACATACATACACACACATACATGGGCTATATGGTGTGTGTACTGATATCTAGGACAGCCTGTTGCTCTAGGGCCGGGATGAACAAAATGAGACTAAATGAAGCACAGGGGAAAATGATCCCATCAAGAGGTGCAGCAAACATGGGGCGGATGAGGCTGCTGCCAGCATAGCACAGCACAGTTTTACAGTAAACTTTTTAATACAAGGAATACACTCTAATGATGAAAAATATAGTAAATACGCCTGTAACATGGTTATTATAGTTGTTAAGTGTTATGTATGGTGTGTAATTGTATGTGATGTACTTTTACCTGACTGACAATACTGTAGATTTAATTAAACAGCACGACCTAAACATGGAACGCATTGTGCTCATCACGATGGCTATGATGTCACTATGCAGTAGGAATTTTTCAGCTCCATTCTAGTTGTAAGGACCACTGTCACATGCGGTGCATTGTTGATCAAAACATTATTATGCAGTACATGACTGTCTGTATTAAAGTAGCTGACCCCTGAGCGCTCACTGTGAGTGATCCATTAGTCTTTCCGTGGCTTATTGAAGAAACGATAACCAGGCAGCCAGTGTAGCTACCAGTTTGGATTTTAAATCTTTTGAAAATCGAGTTCTTAATAAAGTTATAGTTATGCTGTCACTGCAAGGATGCTGCCTGAAAAAGCTCCAACATTTCAGTGGTTCACAAGACGCATTTATTTTTTTGACCAGGGGGCTATGGGTCAGCTGAGCTTGGCCGGATGGAGCTGTTTTGGCTCCAGGTTGTGAGTTGGGCTTGGGTCTCCTTTATCTCTGTCATTCTTGAGCTAGCACATTAGAACCGACATTCGTGACATATCTGCTACCAGTGCCTAGGGCACAGCCATTCCTGTGGCCAAACCCATATCAAAGGGGCAGGAAAGTAGCCCCTCCCCCCATGGGAGGGTCTGCAGTCATCTGGCAAAGAGTGTGCCCATGTAATTTTAATAGAGGGAGCTAACAAAGCGTCAAGAACAAGAATTGAATCTATCTCCAAGTCCTTCCGATCATAAATGGACAATAGAATTTCTGCCTGAAAGTAAAAGCTTCTGTAAAGACGAAGAATCTGAAGTTGAATTTTCAAAACTGCACTTTGAAATGTGGCTCTAATTATGTCCATCTCTTTTTTTTCTAGAGATGTGAAGATGTTTGGTTCGGGATGCCATCACCCATTCCTGTGAAATTCGTTCGATACTTAGACCTTTTGAAGGACATGTATGGCTTAGAGTAGGAGTGATCAGAACAGTTTGGTCAACTTGCTTTGTTTCACTGCTCTAATTTTGCCCAGTGTATTTTAGTAGATATAATTTCATTAAAAACAAAAAGGAAGGTTGATATTGAATGGAAATCCATAAACCACAATTAATTTTCTTTTGTCACTTTAGTTTTTCAGAACATCGTATTATATTACTGATGTCCTGGCACTATTAAAAATGCCATTTAAAAAAATGTCAAACATTGTTATTGTATGTGTGATTTATGAATACCAAAGAATCTTCTAATAATTTTCCATCCAACATAATTTGATTCAATTACAATACGAAAAGAAAATGACTTTTGATGGCTAAACAGAGCAATATAAAATCAAATTATATCAGAGCAATAAGTTGTGATTCTATTAAACATTTTTTGAAATCTTTTTGACACATTTATTACTTATATAATTAAGTTTTATAGCAACTCGCCTCATCAAAACAATCCTTAAATCTCTCTAGATTGAATGTATTTATTTTCTAAAATTAGTAAAGTTACGGGAGGAGAAAGAACTTCCTTCTTGACAGCATACATACATCTGGAAGAAAAATTGAAACATAACACAGTGTTTATATTTTTAATGCCCTTTTGGTATCTAAAGTCAGCTCATGTACTTTGCAATATATGCATGTGCATATAATTATAGTATGACCAAAAATGTATTGTGTTTAAAATATTTAAGGATGTGAATGCTGCAGATTTCAAGGATTTGTTTTGGTTCATTTTATACTCATACACCACCAGCACCCCAGCCCAGGGATTGAAATATTCTAAAATTACATTTACCTCCTGCATTTTCCTGGTTCTATTTTTATTTTTTTCAGCAGAACTCTTGTCATATACACATTTGATTAAAACTCATAGCCATGGAGTTGTGGGGGATTCAGTGTCAGAAATACTTCCCAATCTACCCTAGTCTCCAGTGTTAGGTGCTGGGTATCATAAATTCACATGCCCGGTGGGTGTCTTCATAGACAGCAGGACGCTGTCAGGAAGGGATTGCTCTGGGGAGAGGAAGAAGAGCTGATGACATCTCAGGGTCTTCTTGTTCTTGCTGCATTTAAGGCAGTATCTTGTCCAGAAATGAGCTGGCTTCTTGGCACTCAGATGTACCAATCTGCACAATAACAGCGCCTCTTTCTTTTCTTTTCCAATTGAAGCTAACCAATAAGCTGCTTTTCTGTGTAAAGCTAGGATAATTCCATGTGTGCACTATTAGGCGAGGCCTCATAGGACTTCCCAGTAAACCAGTGTGCTCAGTTGCTTACTGGAACCATCAGTTTGTAAGCCCTATTTTTGATTGCTTGATTTTTGTCCTTGGTTTCTTTCTTTCTTTTTCTTTCTTTCTTTCTTTCTTTCTTTCTTTCTTTCTTTCTTTCTTTCTTTCTTTCTTTCTTTCTTTCTTTCTTTCTTTCTTTTTCTTTCTTTCTTTCTTTTCCTTCCTTCCTTCCTTCCTTCCTTCCTTCCTTCCTTCCTTCCTTCCTTCCTTCCTTCCTTCCTTAACTAACAGTGGCAAGCCATTTTATCACTGTAACATTTTCCATTCCCCAGAAAGCAAGCTTTTAGAAGAATGACACTTTTCCTAGAACTTTGCAAGGTGACACATCTGTCACTTACTTATTCAACTCTTCACTCAGTTGCCTTTCCCTCAGGAGTTTTAAGTATATAGATAATTTAGCCCTGGTACTATCTTGTAATGTATTTCTTTTGAGAAGTGGGAGCAGAAAAGGAAAGGAAGGAGCAAGTGTGACAACAACTGCTCTGTCTATGTGTGTTACTGCCCTGGTCGTTCCTGGTTCAAACCCACAATTAGCAATGAAATGGCCGTTACAGGAATCATGCCGATAAACATGATACATTGCAGCCATTCAGACACTTTAAAGAATTACTCTTTTTATAACTAAGCCATACACTGAGGGAGATTTATAATTTAGAGATAATATCCCCATTAGTAAAGTTTATGACCCAATAAACAGCTCCCACTAGTTAATAAATGCCAAAGCCATAAAAACAAAGACTATTAATGTAATAGAATTTCTGTACCTCCCTCTTTCGCTGGTGGTCTGAAGATGCTGAAGGGAAATGCTATCTTAGGAAAAACATTTATTCCCGTTATGTAAATATCAATGAATTGTCTTACAGTCCATCTGGAAGTCTCCCAGCCCCCCTGGTTGCAGGTGGTCCTGGGATGCTGATACATTCTACTTAGTTTTCAAGCAGTGGATATCTGGATTTTAGCACAAGGGAACACTGACTCAAACCTTTGGGGGAGGTGTGGTGAAGGGCTGGGATTTCTCTTCTTCCCTCTGAAAAAGAAGTCCTAGTTATTGCCATGTTCCAGGGTAATAATTTTGAAAGAATTTTCACATCCTTTGTGCAGACATTATTTTTAGCTCCTAACATTCATTTTGACGGAAAAGCAAATGCCCGTGGATATCAGGTGAGTGGAACGTTAATATGGCCAAACCTTTTGTCCTCCGAACTAATTGTTTATTAGTGTTTTTTTCAGCCATGGGAATGATCAACAGAGTCATTTGAAAGACCAAATCATAAATCATGTTTTTTCATGCAAAATGGATGAAAAGCTGTCAGGGTTTACAATAAGTGGTTGCTGAGTCACTGTTGTGAAGTGTGGATGTAAGCATTACAGCAGTTTGCACATTTTGCTTATTTTATTCCAGGTGTTGCCTTCGTTCAATGGATGTCAAATTTTACCATTCCTCTTGCCTTTCCAACTTGGATTTATCTTCATTTGAGTTGCTTCATAGCCTTATCCATTTGTTTCGTCGTTTGCCTTCCCCTTTGTCCGCTCCTTACGAATTTTACTAGTTGTAAGTTCAGTAGTTGGAGCCTTAATGAAATAATAGGGCTTCACACGAATTATTCATGATATTGAATAATGCAGAATCTGTTGAATAATGAATTGTCATGTTCCCAATTATATGTACATTCTCTTTAGTTATGAGTATAGATCCCCACATCTTGAATACCCTTCAAATTGGTCCCTAAATGACCTTTCAAACAAACAGCTTCCAAATGATGGTGGAAGCAGAGCGTCCAGTGATGTGGCTCTGCTCTCGCATTTTCTTGGGCAATGTCTGAACTACTTGAAGTTGAAGGGAGGTTAAGACTTTTCCAAAAATGAGCCATTTCAAATTGACAGCATCTTCAGTGACACGGTGCCTTTCAGTTCTCAAGAGAATGCAGTGTGTGAAAATGGAAAGCCCACCAAGGCAGGCTCAGCGAGTCTCTGAGCCCATAATAAACTCGGACCAGTAATGCCACAAATGTCATAATTACAAAAGGGTATTGCTGACCGTGCAAATTAGCTTCAGAGAATTTTGCAACTCTCCTCCACCCACCCTTTCCCAGGCTGTATATTGTTTTAAATATACATTTTCACTCAGGGTCAATTAAGTTCCCCAAAACAAGTTCCGAGACCCCTTTGTCAACAGAGTGGCCAGAGCATGCATCTGTACGTCTGTCCCCAGTCACCAGTAAATTTCCTTCCAAGAGGACTTTAAAACCCATTGTGTGTCTGGTGTGTGACACACGCAGGCACCCAGGGGTCAGCACTGCTGCTCAGAAGCAACTGGAAACAGCTAAAAAATGTGGCCCATGAAAAACTCCACAGTGGCTCTGCAAGCAGAGAATTAATGGCTCACTGGAAGCAGTAGGAGCCTTTACTTCTAAATACTCATTAGTTAAAGCAGCGAGGCCTGATGTTCTGCAAGCTAGAGAAGGAAAGGGGACCGCCCCTCCCCATTGTCTATTTTGAACAAAATATGCACATTTAACTCAAAGTGGTGAATGGTTCAAATACATCAAACCAACTATTCATCCATCTCCCAGCTTCCTGAGCACCGCTTTGCATCTGTGTAAAGCCAACAATAGAGGAAATTCTTGTTATGACCCCACTATAATATTAAAATCCAGAGGAGCCCACAGCTTAGTGAAAACACAAAACTGCATTCTCCTTTAGAAATCGCTCTGCCAAAGTCATCTTTGTGTTTCCTTTTTCCTAGTCTGCCCATACAAGAACACTGAAACAGGAACTTGATAAAAATTACTTTTGCCTGCTTTTTTCTCCTGTGCCACCACTGCTCTTCATTATTGCTGTGAGGCCACCCGTGGAATACAGAACAGGAGCTGAAAAGCCGTGTTAGCGGGCTGCAGATACCCCGATGTAGCTATGCCGAGAGCCAGCAGAGGGAGAAGGGAAGTGGCAGTGACAATGGCAGAGGAGTTGGGTTGATAAGGGGGACCAGCATGTAAGTAACTCACCCTAGAATGTTGGAGTCTCCTCCTGAAGGAATGGGAAGTATGAAAGATACTTGTCTTGGTTATGAGATGATCATGCCTGTACTTAAAAATCTCTGGCTGCTTTGTGTGTGTGAACTCTTACGAGCCAAGTTTGGCAATGAGAGGGCTGATTATAGACTCTTTCCAGAGAAGTGATGGATGGTTTGGATTAATATAATGCCAGTGGGTTGATGAGAAGTGAAGAGATTTGTGACACATGGGATGCTGCAGATGAGGGAGATGAAATAAAAATTAGGATTGAATCGTTTTTGACAGCTGGGTGAAGGGTGTTGCTGCTTGCTGTACTGGGCTATACCAGAATTGTGCCTTAGGCATGCTAAATTTAGGGTACCTGAGAAATGGGTAAGTGGTGATGTTGATATGGCAGCAGATTAATAGGTTTGAGTCATCAGAGGATGCATGAGTTTGGGAAGATTAACCAAGGGAGCATGTTTTCTGGCCATCCTGCCTGGCATATTGCCACCTGATGCTCAGCTTCATTGTTATACAATGAACTGCACGTATTTAAAGCATTGTATGAAGTTCCAGTTCCTCCACATTTTCACACATTCTAATTAGTGTATAATATTGTAGTTGGTTATTTTCTCGTTAGTGAATTTTATTTTCCCATTATTGAATTTTGAGCATTTTTTTATTCAAATTTAGCTGCTCCGTTTGATATTTACCAGTACCCCCCCCCCCACACACACACACACACACAACCCCCCGGACTGTAGCTGTCTTTCCATTCTCTTAGCAGGGTCTTTTGGAGAGCAAAAGCCTTTTATTCTGTTGAAGTCGATTCTTTCAATGTTCTTTTAGGATTATGCTGTTGCTATTATAGCTAATAAATCCTTGCCTAAACCAAGGTTACAAAGATTTTCTCTTCTGTCTCCTAGA